AAAAAAAAAAAAAAAAAAAAAAAAAAAAAAAAAAAAAAAAAAAAAGATAATTACACCCAAAATAGCAAAATCTAAGTGCAGTCAACTCCTCAACTAAGCTTAAATAAACTGTCCTTTTCAGTGGAGTATGCACAAAAATCAGAACAACTGAAAACTCCATGGAATTTTCTTTTGTAAAAAAACTGCTGATTTTCTGTTAAAAAAAACCTGGGAGGGAAGAATCCCAAGGAGATCTATGACTGGTTGAAAATCCCATGATCTAAACCAACTCTTATTTGTCTTCAGCTGTTCATCTAGAACTATGCCAGTTATGTCAATAATTGCTCACCACGCTGGTAACACTCCCTGAATGGTACATATTTCTTGAGGATATCAGCACTGAGTTATTTGTCTTGATATTTTTAATATCCTAAGAGAAGCAGGATAAAGCTAAATCGATTGCTGAAGATTACATAAACAAAAGCTGGTTTGCACTTCTAAAAAAAATCACGCAAAGGTCTAAAAATGCTTTTCATTGTGTTTAAAGGCAGAAAAATTCCTGTTTCTTGTAAACAAAATACAGGTACTGATGCAATGYCTTGCACAGCACAAGCTAGAGGAGTAAGAGCAGTTTAAAATAAAGTTGTGTGAGAAAATCATGAGAATTTCTCAAAACAGAACTGCACTTCAAAAACTGTTCTGATGTTCCTGACCAGAACTGYAAAAATATTGAGATGCTTTCCAAAACAAAGGGACATCAGAAGGAATTGTCATGTTCATTTAAGGCACAGCTCCCCCAAAATACAAACASAGATGATTGACTGGCCTTGGCATAATCCACCTGCCAGGAATTGGGTGGTGATGAGAGAGTATATCCTTGCTTATATTATTAAAGGATATTTATCATTTTATAGCAAGCAAAGCAGTGCAGACAGAACCAATAAAAACCTACCAAATGCCAAACATTACTTGCACAAATACTTTTACTAATCTGAACCTCTCTATCGTAACCAGCTCAGAAAAATGAGATTAAATAGCATTTGCTGTGAAATTATCACATAATTTGTGTTAAGAGTACAAAAGTGGAGCCAGGCCAACAGCTGTAGTGTTACTGTAAGCAAAAGAAAGGAAGGCATTACAATAAAATCAAACCCCCCAATCTGCAAACACTTGCTGGGCTCCCAGCAGGTGAGCAGCTGATTGTGTATCTCACATTTGGAACAAGTGGCTGTTTTTAGTCARGACAATGCAGAGCGGTAAGAAATAAAAGCTCACATAAATCAGACTCGTGCTGCTTTCCAGGGCAGCTGCTCCCTCCGTGTCACTTGTCACTTTTCCCTGCAAAAMACTCCTGGGGATTGTCACAAAAGGGGAATTTCCCAAAACCAAGGAAGCCTTTCTATTCTGACCCACTGACACTCACAGCATCACAGAAACACCTTCCATCTGTACAAAAGCACAATTAAATGTGCCTGGGCAAGCCTCAGTGAGTTTTTAAAGAGGTTATGATGACTTTGCATGAGTTACAGCTCAGAATATTCATGACAGCAATAAACTGAGACTTCATGTGTCACACATTACTTACAGCTACCTAAAAATGAGGTGCCTAATCCATTTTATTCCAGCTTTCCCTTATCATTATCACTGACAGAGAGACTGGGGTAGCAAAGGGAAGTTATTCCCCCCTCATGTGAGACAGATGCCTCAAGTATGTGACATAAATAATCCTCTAAATGGTCTTGGCTAAACTGTCAAGGCAGGGAGCACAGAAAAGCACCTCAGACGTGRTATCTAAAGTTTAGATGGAGTATTTGACATCAGATGTGGTGGACTGAGCACTGAAAGAGATAAAATAGATATACAGAGATAAAAATAGATAAAATAGATTAAATAGATAGAGATATATAAACACATTCACACACACAAGTGTTTGTATACAACAAGAAAAGCCAAGATCAGTGAGTAAATTTGCATAATTCYTCCAATTTATCAGAGTAAACACCATGACATATTTAAAAGCCCAGAGAATTAAGCACACCATGGATTTTCCCTCACTTTTCCCAACTCACTTTGCTTTGCAGTTTATGAAAAAAAGCTACAGAGGCACTCACAGGTTGATGGATCTCGATAAGATGACAGACACAGTCAGGAGGATGCACCCATAGGGACCAATTTCAAACTGGAAAAGAAAAGGACTGGTGTCATTTCGTTTGTTCTCTCTCTATATACATATATATGTATATATATTTTGCCCAACCCTAAAGAAATGCAAATAGAACTGAAAGCAGGAAGACTTTTTGTGATTTATGCTAAAACTGAATTTGTTGCTGTGTTTGTCAAATGTAAGACATGTCTATACAGCGCTTGAAATTGTTCAGAACACATTGAGATGATAAATACAGAAAGTCTGGCAGCTGGACCATAATTTGTTTAATTGTCTTCAAAGCACAGTACCTGGTGAATGTTCTGCTGAAGGAACACAATCAAATCCTCATATCTTGTGGCACTATGAAGTATCAGCTGGGAAGACATGAGAGAAGAAAGAAAAAGAAAAAAGGCACTTAAAAAAAAAGGCAACTCATTTTTATAACCTGAAAGTTGAAATCAAGTGGCCAAAACTTTCAAACTGACTGGAAAAATGTGAAATAATAAAATGCGAAATAAGGATCTAATGAAATGTACCTCTTAATTTGTTTGTCATTTGGCATTTAATTGAACTTCATATATTCAGAATTTTTCAATGCTGTTCCTTGATGTTTTTTTTTAAGTTTGTTGAACAGACCTTTTAATTCAATTTTAAGCATTGTTTCTGCAGTGACGAACMATTCCTAGAACAGAGGAATACTGCAGCTGCAGAGGAATTAGGATGGGCAAGAAGCTCAGGGGTTTGTACCAATATGGTGAGTCATTTATCATACTCAGTTTTCCTATTTAACATGAAACCCAGGAGAGCTCACAGATCCAGGCCTTTACTTCAATATGCTTTGCCTGTTTTTCTCTCTTCAGCTTTGGACACATCCATTCCCCCTTTTAGGAGGCCAAAATCATTTCCTGCAGCCACTAAAGCCTGGCTGGTAGCAGCATTGCCTGCAAAGCCACCTGAGAGCCTCAGATGGAARCCAGGCTGAAGTGAGAAGTGTTCTGCCATTTGGGGTTTCTGGAGGGGGAAAAAAGGGCAAAGATTCTGTGTGAGGCAAGAAGAAAATCGTGTCTTTTCATGCTCATGGTCAGCTGGAAGGGTTCATGTTAATTTTTACTGGGTATCATTAAAAGCAGTCCGTTTTTAGGCTTGGAAGGCAAATGGAACAAAAAAGGGACTTCAGAGAGCCCAACACTGGGACAACTCAGAGCCAGACAGGTTTCATTTACCTGGCAGATGTTATTTATTTCATTTATCTATGGGATTTTATTTCCCGTTGAGTTTTGGATCATAACTGATTTGAAATAACAGATTTCAAAACATTAGGAGAGCAATGGAAATCAGACCCATTTAAAATAGGGAAAGGAAGAAGGAGGATATGGAGAATGAGAGYCACACAGAGCCTTACAGTTTCTAGGATTCCATCTGCCTTGTATTTTCCTGTGGGAGTGAACTGCTGTCTTCCTGACGGCCTGAAGAGGATATTCAGACAAAACTCATGTTAAAAGGAACAAAATGACATTAAAGAGGAATCAATGTGTTAGATGAACTGAATAATGAGCCAAAGATTCACATTATTATTATTTTTTATGACCTTTTTTAGAAAAATATTTCTTGTAAATAAGTTCATATTGCCAATCAAATTTCCATCAATGAAGCACATAGTTGATCTGTGCTGTGCTCACAGTCTGTTTAATGTGAATTACAATTTCTCCACACAGAAAGTGGATAAATATAGGTTTAAGATGTTAATGACAGTTTTTGTTGAAAAATATTTTTGGAGCAATGACATTCAACCAAGCAGAAGAGCATATGTAAAATATCACAGAGGAAGCAGTTTTGGAGATGTAAAATATCATTTGAAATGTCTTTGAATTGGCTGCTTCTATTTCAGCTTTAAGGATTTCTGTGTCCCAAAGCCTCTCTGTTGTTTTTTAGCTGTACTAGTTACTTAAAAGAAATTAATCATGCCCACAAAACCTGAGTCACTTTAAAACATCCTTTAGATTCCAGTGCAGCCAAAACTTGGGATCTCAAAGTTGGGCGTTCTGTGTACAAGCAGCCTAATTGCATGGCATAAACTAAGCAGGCAGATACAGCAAAATTCCAGCCATAACAGAATATCCTGCAATACAGGGGCAGAATGCTGCATCTGGAAAAACAACTCACAGTGAAAAGATTTTGGAGGATTCCCACATTCAATTAAATCCACAGGATCTTTCACAGCAACTCCAAAGTGTTTTATCTACTCCAYCCCAGCTACTGGGGCAGCAGAAACTGCATTTTGCCTTTCTCCTTAGGCCATTTTAGGTGGCATAAATGCAGCTTTCAAGGTTTTCATGCTGCAAATGATGGACATTTGAGACAGACAGCAGTGTAAGAGTGATGCCTGATGATTTTTGCCTTCTCTTTTTATATACCCCTTTATATATTTTATATACCCTTTTAGACATTTTCTGTACTRTATATTCTTTGTACCCTTAGCCTATATTCTTGTAATTCTTGTAGCCTGATATTCTAACTTAGTTTTAGGGTTCTGCTGGGCAGAAAGACCAAACACCCTCAGTAAGGGGTCAATGTGCCCTATGCTTTTTCAAACTCGAGGTTTCAACCTTRGTTGAAGCCATTTCTCTGGAACMTATTAGGAAAACTGGGCTCTAACCTCATCCAGGGGGGAAATTCCTTAAAATAGGGGGACATYGCTTCATTTGTTAAGTTTCTTATTGGGGGATTTCAGACAGAAATGTTAATTTTTGAAATCTATAAAAATTGTATCCGTGTTATACACGAGGTGCATCCTCGGCATTTTCCACCTTGAYGAGCTGTGCACCCSGGATCCTATTAAATACYAAAAAAAAMCCTTTTTTCCCTTTAATTGTAAATAATTAAAATTAAACCATAATTAAAATTAAACCACAACTCTAAAACCAGCCAAAAAGGCCACAAGAGCAGCGTGGAAGGGTTTCTGGTACTCACAGCACCACGATGGCTTTCTCGTGGCTCCCCGCRCGCCACAGAACGTCAGCGAGAGCCAAGCACAGGCACTTGGTCCTGTGAGCTTCTGAGGGCTGGAGACAGCTGCAGTCCAGGAAAATAAAGCAGAGAGACAAGCAGCAAAACGTCAGAGCAAACAGTTTCAAGGCATGGTTTGTCCCTAAAAAAACAAAGCATTTTTAAAGAGCATTCAGGCTTTGTGATGATGWATAGCAGGGCTCAGGCAAGTTGCCTCAGAATATCAGCATTTAGGGGTCTCAGTTTTTCTACAGCTGAGGAAGAGACAACCTGGACAGTCAAAAATCCTGTGAGTTGAGAAGGGAGCTGGTATTGTCAGTGGGGAGCCATTTCAGTTGTAAATGGGCAGCTGAATCCATACTTTCTCTGAAAATTCAGCAGCTGAAGGGAAGAACTCTCAGTGTGCACTCTGAGACCGCTCAGCACCCAAAGAGCCCTCAACTGAAGTCACCACTGGGCTTTTTGGAACACTCTTTGAGGAGAAATCTCATTTTAGGCACTGAAGAAGGAACTTCGGGCCCTGAAGATGATCAAATCCAGTGAATGGAGCTGCAGGGAGAATAACTCTCCTTCCAGATGGTGCAGAACAAACCGGGCACCCTGGATGGGTTTCTTTGAAAATCAGAAGGAAAACAGGCACAGGAAGGAAGTGAATTCACCAAGATCAAGAGTTTACAGCTRTGTGCTGCTTTTTGGGGCACCTGGATGAGCTTATGTTGCTCCTAAAGATGGTTAAACTGCTGCTGAGGGCACTGAAGCAATTTTAAACTTTACAGACGATCTACGACACTGCTCTGGTCACAGAGGTGAATTTAAGAGATGAAATTCACAGCCTTGACTTCTAGGAGATCAACACTTAAATTGGTGTCTGAATTATAAGGAATGATTAAAATAAAATTATTTTTATCATTCAAAGCAACGGATGAAAATCAAGAGAGACTAAACAAGGTATGATCAACAGCAGGAAATGATTTTTCACAGATCTGTAATCACACTCTGATCTTCTAAAGGAAAGAGCTACTCTCTCACAATAGATATTTTTAATTGCTTGGACAAAAAAGCAGGCAAATATTTCAGGGAACAATATTGGCCAACAAAGGACAACAGAAGCTACTTCATCTCTAAACCCGGTGACAAAACTTTCATACTCTCCAACGGGACTGTTTCAYGTTTAAAATCTAATTTTTAGTTTCTCATGGCATTCATACTTGATTTCTTTCTGAAGTTTTTATTCCTTAACCCCTTTAAGCAAATCTACACCATAATGTTTTTTACCCACTACTAAAGTTTCTCCAAAGCCCCATCTGCAATAAAAACTGGGCTTGCATTTTTTTAAATAAGGTGTGCCCCAAAGTCAGGTCCTAAAACATTACAGAACTGGAAGGTTAAAAGTCAAACAAAATCGGAAAACTTGCAGATTTGAGAATAAAACCCAACGTCCATAAGCCTGAAGAAGTGGCCAGAAAATTCCATGCCCCTGGGAGGAACCTAACCAGAGTTTTCTCCAGTGGCTTCAAGAATTGCAGTCTTTGAAATTCAGATTTTATCAGTTTTTGAGCATTACCAGCATGGGAGATGATGACAAACCCTGTTCCCAGCATTGGAGTAAAAGATCTAATAATTCCAAAGACTAAACAAGAAACACCAAACATCAAAAAAATTAAACAGACTTTTAAGTTCAATGTCTGCCTTGAATATAATGTTCATTTAGGGGATGTTTCCCTCTCTGAAGGATGTGAGATATGGGAAATAATTGGTGAGAGTTTTCAAGTATAAAAAAAAGAAAAAAAAAAATCACAACTTTCTCTTATCTCTGCCTGGGTTATAAYACAGGCACCCAGAAATTTATGGGAATCACAGTGAATTTATGGTGTGAGAGAGGCAGCAGAGGAGGCAGAAGACATGATAATTATTTTGTGAATGTCGAAGGAGACATCATAATTATTTCTTGAATGTCGAAGAAGCCTGAAATCAAACACTTCCTGTGAAGTGGCTGCTAATTCGAAAATGCAGGTTAGAATTAAAAAGGGACATTCATCCTCTCATTTCCAGCTCTGAGATTTCCCTTTCCTCCTGCCTGCTGAACRTTTCTGCCCATGGCAAACTCAGCATGAGAAAAGTACGTTTGTCTCATGAATAAAAACCAAAAATCTCTTAAAACCATGTGAATAATAAGAGGGAAAAAACAGGAGAGACAAATACAGCCAAGTAAACAGGATGGGCTGGAACTGGCACGAGCTGGGACACACAGTTCAAACAACCTGGCCTCAATCCACTTATTTGGGTGCCACATAATTTTATTTCATTTATGATCCCTGAACCATGCTGCAAGAGGAAAATTAACAGCTCTATTTTCACTGAGGATGAYCTGAGACACAAAGGGACCAAGGAGCAGATGATCAAAGGCTGTCCTCAAAGCTGAAAGAAATTCTTGSTTTTCACAGCCACAAATAATTCTTCTGTGGAGATTCCTGACCATAAAACCTAAGCATGCACTGAGCTTCTTGCAAGGAAGTTTTTGAGGTTTTTCTTTTATGCAGAMAAGAGCCTTGAAAAGTCTGCCCTCATTATAATCTGAATTAGAATCCGAAAGTTTTTGCTGGATAATTTCTGTCAGTTCCCATCCTGGGTGCCAAAGACAAAGAATGATGTTCAACAGGTACCTTTTTCTTTCCAATATAGRTGAAAAACAATCCAAGAAATGAATTTACTTAAGTGCAAGCCAGACAACACTAAGGGAAATCAACAGAGACCACAGCATTTTCCTAAACAGGTCCAAGCATAGAAAAATGGGTATTTAAGCCCAAAATTTAATACAAGAGGAAGATTTTTATATTGTAAGGTAATGAAGTTAAAGAAAGATCTCAGCATGAAAGCTTCTCTTGGGACCAAATCAAGGTCAGACTAATTGAGGCCCCAAATAAGACACGGTGATGGCAGCACAAACCAGTKAAATCATTTTCCCCATTTAATATTTTAATGCTCCTGTAAGGCACAGAGAACTTTGTGGATTTTTTTCTTTTGCAATGGACTTCATTTCTTATTGAAAATGAAAGGCAAATACGTGAAAACTGGTAATAAAGTAATTTTTTGAGGCATTATTTGTCAGAAATTATTCAACAAGCCCTGCTCCTTTAGCAATGTGACAAGTACATTAATATAGTGGCAGTCCAAGCAATTTCCCTGTCAGCAGCAACACTTAACAAAACTCCTGTAAAGTGAGTAGAAAATACACAGAATATAAATTCAAATTCCATTAAGGAGTTTGAATGTGAATGATCAAACAGAGTTACAAGGAAAAAAAAAAAGAAATTAAAACTTTAATTTTTCACCCCCACTGAGATTCTCAAGTATCAAACACTGGATGGACTTCACGGTCTTTCAAACCTTGACAATTTTTTTACGTGAAATCAAATTTCTGTGAGGACCTCGAGGTTAAATAATTTTCAGTGGCCTCAATTTGAGCTGTTGGGTTTTTGTATAGGCTCTTGGGTTAATCACAAGCAATTAAGACAAATAATCACAAATAAGACAACAACTTCTACATTCCTACAGTGCAATGAGAAGTGAACATGAGTAAATCAGATGCTGCTTTCCTTCTCTCTGTCTTTGAGACAGAAAAGTTCAATCAGTTCAAACTCACAAGGCTCCTGAGGGGGCAGAAGAGAAATGATTTTTTTTTTTACTTCTGTAGGGAAAATTCCTGATGTCAGTCACTGACATACCGGGTGTCTTTGTTCCTGTTGCTGTCTGCAAAGATCAGCTGCTGCAGGACACAGGCTTGGACTGCAGCCAGAACTCCACAAGGGCCACCCTGGGGGAGAAAGGGGACACTCCATCAGTGAAAAAAGGGATGGATGTGGGGGAAAACCTCTGTGTGTCCCCACCCAGCATAAAACCATTCTTTCATCTTTCTCCTTCCAGCCATGCCCTTACAGTGCTCTCGGGGATTTTGTGTAAGACAAAGAAAATCAGTGTTTTTAATGTTTCTGTGGTTCCTATTTTTCCTGAAAAGACCTAGACATCTATAATGCCAAAAGGAACTTTTTTAAAATCTGTGATATGCAAACTAAAAATCTCCTGATCCCTGTTGAGCCACAGTTTAATTTTCAGAGAGAAATCTAATCTGAGTGTTTTCCAAGGAGCAGAAACAAGTCTTGCTGTTGTACCTCCTCTCAGCACCTCGAGTTCCCACCTTACTAAACAAAGATGATCTTCCCTTCTCCCCCTCTCTCACTGGGGGAGAGAAAGAAAACCAAGAAAATTGGAACCCTTAAAATGATTCATGTCCAGGGAAAAAAAAAAACACAATACCAAGAAATGCCATGTAAACTTGATGGAAAGTAGATTTATGGCTGGTTTGGATGCAGGACACAAGGAAAACACCACAGACAGCACAATGGCACCCATCAAATGTATCTCAAAACCCTGGAGAGGAAGGGAAAGGGCAGCATTGYTGTTTTTACACAATAATGTGATTGAAGGGATCAGTTCAGTTCTCAGGTTGTCCTAAGTGCAGCACCAAGGGAWCAGGACCTGCAGGTAAATGCAGTAYGGAACCCAGMAAACAAAGTCCCTGGAATTAGGAAATACCTTAGATACTGACAACTTCCCATTTCCAGTCCATATTAAACACACACTGCATCATCAGAATTACTCACATAACTGATGGGTGAATTGTCTTAAATGTATTAAGGAAAATAGCAATATTTTAAGAAATATATTTATTTAATAATTAATTTTAATAAATATATTTATTTTAATAGTCATAGGTTATTTTTATATAGGTGTTATTTTTATATACATAATTTAATGGTAATAATAGGTTATTTTAATAAAGGGGTTTATTTCAGTCCATCAGGGAAAGCCTCCCAGCCAAAAGTGAAATTTTAAGTTCTGTTCTAAATGGTTTTTCACAGCACCACAAAACTTAAGGTAAAAGATTACCAAACAACTGAATTCTGGAAGTGAGGAGGAAAAGTATTAATGAGCTGGAAGAGGTAAAATCTAAGCAAAACAGCATTCCTGTGGTGGAATTTATGGTGGGGAATGTAATGGTCAGTGAGTGGTTGGAGGTGATGAGATCTTCTCTCCAGCAGCAGGGGCAGCAAACGCCCCAGTGACATTTTCTGTGGGCCAGTGAGCACCACTGCCAAGTTCCCTTTGGGGTTTCAATTAACATTTAACATCTTCTTTTTCCGCTGGGTTCTCTAAGATAAGCAGCTTTCTTCTGAGCCAATCAGCCTAATGAAATATTTAMCCAGATGAGGTCAGTTAATTAAACACCTTAATGACGTGTTTATTAGGCATTGTCTTTGCCTCAAAGCCTTTCCTCCTCTCATTTCTCTACAATGCTCTGCTTCTCTCAGGCCAGATAAGGATTTTCTGCATTAGCACAGAGGCTTAATGAGTGTTTGGTGAAGAGAAGCACCAAAAATTTCCACGGATTTTGGGCTGGCCCAAGCTGTGGCACCATGGTTTTTTACCAGCTGTGGTACCACAGGGACCTGCTGGGTATTCCAGATGTGCCCACCTGGTGGATGCTGCCAGGGAACCGATGGGATTTGCTCCAGGGAGAAGTTGGCACTGTGAGGCTGCAGGATCAGTCACAGAAAGGTGGCTGCAAAGATGAGCCCACCAGCAGTGCCAGTGTCCAGGGACCCCTGTGCAAGGGGGGTTGTTCCTTTTGTTTTAGGGAAGAGCCTCATCCCCTGACCCAAATAACTTTAGGGGATAAAAATCTCTTTGTGATTTTCCAGGCAATTCTTGMCACATCTCATTTTGAGACAGATCAAGCTCCATCTTCAGTTTGTTAAACATTGCCTTCACTCATAYTTTTGTCTTGAACTCCACCCTGGCTTTTTGCTCTTTTATTCTTTCACCACCACCAGTTTCCTGCTGCAGTGGCTCCCTTTCCTCCCTGTGAATAATTCCCCACCACACACACCCACATTTACACACTTTCTGCAGCTCCTTCCAGTTTTCCTCCATCCACCTCAAGTCTCCCACCACAACTCGACACAGTGGAAWCACCCACTGGTAACAGGAGGAGAAAAGAAGGAGGAAAGCCTTTAGAAAACCTTTTTTTTTCACTGCTGAAACACAGCAAGCCTTTGTAAACTCAGTGTAAAAAGCAAAGGTCACTGTTAGGAAGGAATTTACAGTACCTTTTTCTGCACAATRCCGTATTTTAGCTGGGGGATGTTGTTAAATGTAAAACTCTGGATTTTCCATTCTTCGCTGAAGCAACAAAGACTAGAGCCAAACAGTAGATTTTTTAATTCCTATAAAAGAAAGAAAAAAAAATTCATTTTAAAAACAACTGCAAACCACAGYAATCTGCAGAAAAGGAGGAGTGTGGAAGGGTAATGACTAATTTTGTATAACCACCCTCTTCTGTTTTATCCATACTGTAAATAGCAACACCCCAATGAAAAGGAGCAATATTTTCCTTTTCCTGCCATATTCCTTCCACTCATAACRCTGGGAGCTGCTCAGCACTGGAAAATATTTATGTCTAATGTCTGGGGCAGAGTTTCCCATGAAAGCATCACAGAACATTGCCTGAAATTTAACAGCTGGAGGGGCAATGGTGACACGAGAGAGAAAAGGACCCTGTGGGGGACAACTTGGAGAAAGGAAGATTGTTTTGCCTCTCAGAGCTGCTAATATGAGATAAATGTTAATTAAATGCTTGATTGCTCTGTGTCAGATGGCACAAATCCAGAGCTTGGCCATGAACAGCTGCAGACCACAACCACTGCACCAGCCACACTGAATAAATTGCATTCATGCTGAAGCAGAGCTCAGGAAATAAAAAAATGCTACTCAGGGCTGGTAGAGTTACTCCAACCTCTGATGGAGAAATCAAATTGGAAGACACCCTCGTCATTTGGTCTGGGCTTTCTTCTCCTCTGTCTGAATGGGAAGGAAATTTAATAATTTCATCTCTGCTCAAAAATAGGGGAGATAAGCAATAGAGAAACTGTGACAGGGGAATACTAAACTTGTTCTAAATCACTGCCAGTTGAATGGACTGGAGAATAAACCCATGAAAAACTGACTAGAGGCATTAAGAAAATAATACAAGCTTCATTAATTAAATTATTACCTCTGCTTCAAGTGGGCTAATGCATGAGGGAATTTTTCTGAATTTAGGCATCCCCAAATTATGGTCACCTGGATAAAGAATTCACTCAGGAATACTGCACGTGCTTAAAACACAGCAACTCACTGCAGCTTTGGCTAAGGAAACTCAAATAAGAACCCCACACATCTTCTTGCATTTACCATGACTTACTTTTGCCAGAGAAATATCAATGGCCTTTGACACTATTTGAAGCATGTAGAGTGTTGAAAGATCTGGGGTCTTATTAACTTCTCCAGGTGTCTCTTCATCCTCAACATCAACTGAAAGAAAAGAAAATCACAGAATGTGGTGGATGGAAACTGCTCTCAGTGCCGGGGGGTCATCAGCTTGAAAATCAACACTTACTATCATTATAAAAAGGAAAATAAAGTTTTAGCCAGAAAGGACAGATAAAAATACACGAGCCAGCTTTTGTTTGATTACTTCTTAATGATTTCTTTGTCTTACCTAGAAGTTTAGAGCAAATGCAATTGTTCTGAAACAACTTAAGAGYTACAAAAGAAGCAACTCCTACGTATTTATTTGGCCACAGCTGCTCTGAACAATACAAAAGATGGCAAAAGCCAAACTGAAACTTGACATAACTCACCCAATTCTAGGACTTCTTTCATCTGGTCTTCTTTATAGCCCATGGATGTTGGAGACTTCCTACATGAAAATTAATCAGGAAATGAACGACTAAATGTTCTTTTTAAATGTGAGAAGTTGTTTGAATAAACAGTAAGAAATATGGAGCAATCCCACACAAGGATACAACTTTTGCRTGTGTATATAAATATATTTTTATATATATATTCAAAYGGTCTAAGAAATAAATGGTCTTAAAGCAAAGTCTTTTTCATTGGAAGAAAGCTCAGCACTGGAAGGAGTTCATCAGGACAAGCAGCCAGCATGGAACAATGCCCTTTGTTTGATTTGGGATTTCAGTCCTGTTCCAACACTATTTTCATGTCATTTGTGTGATATGATGGATCAGGTCATAAAATAAAATCTACATCCCTGACAGAAATCAGGATAAGATTCAAATTAGTCACTAAACTACTCGTAATATCCAAATAATAAAAGTGTAAATAGGTCTYAGACTGGCTTCTTTACCAGGGTTATTTTTAATTGTTCAACTCCTCTCATGATTTGTGTATTACACAATTAAAAGGTTAAAATTCATATGAATAACTACCAAAAGGACTAAGCATTTAAACTTGGCTGTGAAGCCAGAGGTAGAACRCTAGATTTTTGGACATGAGATGGGTTTTGTTCTTCTTGTTGAATTCACACCAGAACAAATTCAGAATCAAGGAAAAGTTCTGAATAACTATTTCTAAAAATGGCAAAAACTGACTTCCCACCCCCCCAAAAAAATGCAACACTGTATCATTGGCCTTTTCTTTGGAAAAGAGGTATTGCACTGACAATCCTTTCAAAAATAGTATGGAATAATTTCCTCAGCAACATTCTTCGTATGCACGATATTACAGCAACAACTGCTGTCATGTCACATACTTTCCATGAGCTTAATTTCCTTTTCAGACTATGAAAGACCCATAAAACCAGAACACAGATGTATCCCACTCAGGATTTGCCCAGTTTAAAGGCATTTTGGCAGCTTTCTCACTGGTAGTATTTGATAGTATAAGAACAGAAACAATTTTCTTTTTGTCTATAAATAAGTTGAAGGCAATGAAACGTGGGTGGCCCTAATTCAGGACAGACAGAATGGAAATGAATCACCCACGTTCTAGGAACTCCAGGTAAAAATAAATGGGAAGCTCAGCAGGTCAATAAAAATGAGAGCACTGGGRGCAGATTTGTAGATTGGCATAAGCAGCACTGAGCTCCCACTGCTCGTAACAGAATTTTTATGTGATATGGAATTTAATACTTGGTTGTGGTGTATTTTATAACAGTCAGATCTTCCCTTGCTGTTTCCTAACACTGAATTTCTGCTGAGATTCCCTTCCCATAGCTACTTGCTGCTGTTTTCATCTCTGCTGGTCACCGAAAGGGTCTTAATGACAATAAATTTACCCATAAACATTTTCCAGCCAAGTCATGTCACTTCGGCATAACCAAGAGCCACATTTTGGTTTGGTCTGAGATTGAACACTGTTCTCTTTTCTTTCCTGGTGTTTCTCCCCAGTCAACCCATTTCTATCTATTTTTGCAGGAGTATTTAACACCTTCCAAGGCCAGTCTGGACAGGACTTGGAGCAGCCTGGGATAGTGGAAGGTGTCCCTGCCCATGGAAGGATGATCTTTCAGGTCCTTTTCAACAAAACCCCTCTGTGATTCTGTGATTCAGACATTTAATGCAGCACTGCAGGCTCCATTTACAAATGCAAATACAGCCACCCAAAGTACAATTCACATATGGCTCAGCTGGCACCAGTTTTTGCAGTGTTCATTCCCTCTGGAAAAGTCTAAAAGATGTTGGCTCCACACCCATTCCAGGAAGAACCGAGCCTGGGATGCAAAGCACTCCAAATTCTCAAGGCTGAGAATTCCCATCAAGCTGAGGAAAGCGCTGACATCCCAAGATTAATGTTGGGTGTTTTCTGCTTAAGTGGGGTATTTTTGCAGGTGGAGGTTCCCCTCCTTGAGGGGAACTCATGTTTCTCAAAACAGCCAGGACATTTAYTGCAATTTCCATTTCAGCCGAGGGCTGCTGTTCCAGGAAAATTTATTGTAGGAGTAAAAGTGCTCCATTGGAATACTTAGGGAAGGGGGAAGTCATCCATCATGGCAGGAAAATGGGACAGGAAGAAAATATGCCTCATTCTAAACATACTATACAGTACTTTCTCTAAATATTTGAACATTCCTATCTGGCCTTCGAGCATTGTAGAAAAATGGATTTACACAGCAGAGCTGAAGTCACAGAGAAGGAGCTCCTTGACACAATAATGGATGTGCATTCCATAATTTCCTATTTACACCAACACTCACAAAGGTCAAATAAACAGAAGGGCTTAAAAATTAAACATCAATGGCTTTAGGGTGACTRTGGCTATAAAACTCATTTTCCCTGCCTGAATACATCAGCTTTTCTATTGGATGTAAAATATACAGACATATCCAATATTCTTGGTATASTGAGTGAACCTGACTAGATAATTAAAAATGAACCCCTATTACTATTTGCAAAAGGGTAGAAAAGGCCATTCTATGAGATGCAGCTTGTCCCTGCTTTGGGGCACAATTACAAAACCAGAATTATTAAAAGCAATTGCAAAGATGCAAAGGACACAACCATAATCAATGCCAGGCAATATTTTTCTGGGGGAAAGAGGCCTTGTCATGAGGATTTAATATAAATTCTTGGCAAATCTGGCTGACAAAGGTAACAGAGGCTCACACACTTATTTTCTCCAAATTTCATTTTTAGTGAAGACCTGCATCTGATCTGATTTACACATCTGCAAGATGAAAAATTAACTTATGTACAGATGACAGATGTATTGATGAACACTGACAGATAGAAAACAGATATAAAACTGAAAACTTGTCATTGAGAGGGTCATTTCTAATAGAAGTGGTCATCCCAATAGAAATAGATTCTCTCACACATGAGTAKGCATTTGTCCTGCTGAATTTTATTAACCATAGTGACAACTAGAAATCTTTGTTGAGAATGTTGGGATATAAAAGAATAATTATTATAATCATAGGCTGAGCTACAAAATGGTTTGAAGTGCCTGATGAGTTGGGCTCACCTGAGCACAAAGCTCATCCATAGGCTATAACTGAATATTTATCTCCAGCTATCAGAATTCTAATGAAAGTGGAGCTTCTTTGTCCCTACTGTTCTCTACCAGAGAATCTGGAGTGTGAAATCACCGTTATGCTCAGCAACCAAAAACCGCTGAGCAAAATAAACAAGAATCAGGAAATCTTTTAAAAGGGAGATAACATTCTGTTAAATAAAAATGCACAGCAGCTAAAAGATACAGAAAAAGGTTCCCAGATTTTGACACTCAATCAATTCACACCAGTGGGGGTGAATCCAACCCTCTGCTCTCTTTATCATCCATAAAGTGTCCATTTAGCCTGGTTTGGACCTCCAAATTCCAGGCCATTTTCTCTTAAGGATGGGAATATTTGTGGCCTTCCACTTCCTGCCAGAAACCTCAGATTTTTAACAGCCCAAACCACTGTAACCTGACAGGTATTAACAGTACAACAGATTTTCCTGAAAGCTAATATCAACTGTTAAATTGGACAATAAAAGCTTACACTGGGRATGGGATATTCTCTTACCTCATCTTATTATAAAAAAAAAGGTGAATTGAAAAAACAGGCTCCTGGTGAGCCCAAATACTGTAGAGATTTTATCTCCTGGTAAAGTAATCTTATGGATAAATAGGGGTAAAAAAATTCCTTGTACTACCTGCACACATCTGATTTTCTTTAAGGAGCAAGTAATTCCACAGAGTCATGGAACATTTGAGTTGGAAGACACCTCAGTGACCACCTCATGCAAATTCTGAATTGACTGACTGCATTTCAGGCAAAGGGCCGGACCTCTCCAGATTCACCTCCTTTCCAAAAATAAAGAAATTGTACCAAAGCGATTTGTCATTTCCAGTAATTGCAAAGTGCCTCTTCCTATGGAGTGCTGGAAAAATACTAAAAGGGCAAATGGCAGCCCCACAGATGTTACACCACGGGCCCTGGTGCCATAAATCCATTGGCACTGCACAAAAGTCACAATAGTTTACAACTTTTATTTTAGGCCCTTTTTTCCGGTCCAAGCATTATTTTGTARAAGGTGTTACGCAACTCCAGGCACTCGAAGGTTCTCACTCCTGATTTGGCAGCCACAACCTCTCTCCTTTTTCATCCATGGGTGAGTTAAACCCATATTCCCCAAGGATGAGCCCSTTTTGTTGGACAGACAAAACTCCTACAACTCTGCTGCTGGTTGCAGGAGTCAAACCAGGACTGAATAAGGGGTTAGAACCCCTCCAGGAGGGCTTGGTTCCTCTCTCCAGGAAGGTGTTGCTGCACTATTCCCACTTTTCCTGCCTCCAAAACCACCCCAAAGTGCTGGGGGAAGCTGGGGGAGATGCAAAGCGTGGCTGGAGGACACGGCACAGATCCCAGACAAAGGTGGAAGGAAATGTACCAACGCAATTCACTCCTGAGTAATTTACTGAGTAATTTACTGAGCAATTTACTGAGTAATTTACTCCTGGGCTGCTCCTTTCCTTACTCCTGCCCCACGCTCCTTTCCGTGCTTTCGTCTGAAGCGCCGCGCTCTGACTAAACTCCCGCTTCCTGGAAATGCCACCAGTGCATCCTCTTCCTCTCCCAGTGGGAAAAATGGGATTAATTCCTCAGGCATTGCTCACACACACACTGAGAATCCTGGAATAACCTGGGGTTTCTGGTGGGTTTTAAACAAGATCAATATAATGTCATATATATATATATATATATATATATATATATATATATAATAATCAATATAACGGCATGGCCATGTGAGCTCAGACCTCATCCCACAGAATAAGACATCCAGGTGGTGAAGACTTTCAGGATCTGCTCAGCACCTCCCAGGATCTAGGTTTATCACTCACAAAATTGCCAGGAATTATTTCAGACAAAGCCAGCTGATCCCACAGACCGATTTTGTAGGTAACACTGAAATA